TGAAGCAAGAAAATTGATATTTTTAGCAAACCAAGGCTTTGAACTAAGAGAAAGTAAAGATTCAATAAGAAAGTAATCATCAATTGATGTGATGTTGGATGTTGAATCCATTGTTAATTTTGATAAATGATCCGTGATAATATTTTTTAGTGCCTTTTTCATCCTTGATTTCTTCCTGTTTGAAAGTTTTAAAGTTTTCATAGTCGTGATTAACTTTCCTTTGTTTGATCATGGTATAAGGAAGTGGAAGTACTAGTGGGGAATCAATCTTTTCCTTATAATATTCAGATTCAACCCCTTCCTTACCCTTAGATATTGACTCATCATGTTTCTCAAAAGATTTAAGATTGAGTTTTTCAATAACCTTACCACTGTGAAGAGTGATGACTAATTTGACTTGATTCATGTGTTGATTTTTAGAACCACCTGCATTTGCATTATATTGCCCATTGTGATTTTTTTATGGTTGAGAATGAAACTTATCTTTCTCTTAAAAACTAAGAGCAGACATGATTTTTTCAAGAGTATCTTTAAAATCTGTTATGCTTTGAGCAAGTTGAGTGTTGATTGTCTCTTACTTTTCAATAAATACATACAAAATTTTCTCAAAATTTATTCTAAGAGGTAGAGCATAAAGAGGTACATATCCGTGAGAATTTTAAAAATTATGGTGTGCTTAAAACTATGGTTGTGATGTTTATGAATTGTCACTCTTTCAACTGAAATTTGAGTGATTTTTCCAACCAGAGTTGTACGTTTCGAGTTGGGTTATGATTAGGCTTTTGAAAATTGTTTAAAACATGACCTTGTTCATGGAGACATTTCTTAAAAAAAGACAAAGTTGGACAATCATTGGTTGAGTGTTCATTTGTTTCATAGCTTTGACACACAGCGTCTTAAATACATTTTAATTGAACATTCATTTTCAATTCTAGTGCCTTGACTTTTCTAGCTAAAGATGCAAACTTAACTTGGAGGTCATGATCTTCCCTAAGGTTGTACATAC